ACTTTAAATATATATTAACTATATTAAAGGTATATTATAATATTTATTTTAATAATATTAAACTTTTATATTAATTATAAAAGTAGCTATATACTTAATTATAGAAGGAAAAGGTTTTAAATTATAATAATAATAATAAGTTAATATAACTTAGTTAGTAATAATAATATAATAGATAAAGGTATGAGATAGATATATTTTAAATTAAGGTATTTATAATAGATAAAAGTATTATTTTATAGTATATAATATAAAAAAGTAGATAATATTATTAATTATAGTATATTTTATAATTAAAGTAATTATAATTTTAATATTAAAAGGGTATTAAAAGGTAATATTATAATAGAATAATAATAAAGTATAGATTACTTTATAAAATAAAAGGTTAATTATAAGATATTTATTTAAAGTATTAATTATTTTAATTATTATATAATATAAAACTATTATAACTTAGGTTTTAAGGCCTTTAATATAATAGTAAGTCCTAAAAGTTATTTTTATAAAGATTTAAAAGTATTATTTAAATAATTATTAATAAAGTTATAAGTTTAACTTTAACTAATAATATAGTTAGTTACCTTTTTAAAAAGGGGGGATTATTAAAGCTATAAATTAAATACTTATAAAACTAACTAATAGGTTTATATATTCTATTTATCTTATTAATCTAAATAGCCTTTATATCTTTTATAATATAAGATTATAGTTTTATTGTCTCCTTTATACTATTCCTTAAGTAACTTTAGTTTTAAATTAATAATTCTTTATAGACAATTTAAGCCTTCTTTTATTATAGGTTGTAAGGACTGTCTTACTTAGAATAGTTTAATAAGTCTTTAAATATTATAATCTCCTCTTAATTCCCTTTCTTATTATTAATAAGGTTCTTTATAATAAGGTTAATCTATAATATTATAAGCTTTTATATAGAAAAAGAGTGTTATTTAGTAGGTAGGTGAAGGAGAATTAGTAGGTTGTGTGAGTAGTATTAAAAGTATATATAGGTAGTGTATATAGTTAGGAGAGGTGGAATGACACCCTTTAATTAGCTATAGCCTAAGGGGGCATTTGTACCTATGTACTAGCCGTTTTTTCCTGTGTGAATATCCGTTCTTTAAAAAAAAAACAAAAAAAAAAAAAGAAAACATAAAGCCAATAATAGTGCAGAGAGAATACGACACGTCGACATGTTACATTGTGTCTGTAAAAATAAGACATAGCAGTACCTAGGAAACGGCTCGGAGTATCCACAGACATTTGGGACGAGAAAACCAATTGCCAACAGCTTGCCTCAAACGAAGGTTACTAATTCCTCTCTCCAGACAAACCCCAGCTCGTCCACCAGTGATTCTGGCCAGTCGTGCAGAAACACGTTTCTATCTTCAGGTCGAGGCCCCCTTTCTAGGAGGGCTTCCACATCCACGGACAGCTTTTCACTAAAGGCCAGCAGATATCTATGAAGCCAGTTCAGTCTCGTACAACGGATCGCCTTGACTACTCGTTTGAGCGGCATCCTTGCTCTTATAGGCATCTGAAATTCTCTTGGCTCTTCCGCGCATGGGAGCCAGTATTGCAAGCCCAAACAGTCTCGAGTCTTCCGACCTTTATGTAGGTTGCAGGGGCCATTATGACCTTGCATAAATTGGCCGTCTACCCCAAACACGGGTGGCATACAAGACATTCCATTGAAGAAATTCTTCCCGATCCCGGGTATCTGCAGGTCAAACCAACTGGGGAAGAGTGTGTCCCAAGGGGCCCAGGGCAAGCTTTTGTTCCGGAGCCTAATCTGCACGAGGTCGGATACGTGCTTTTGCAGACTGTCCCAGTAACGACCAAGAGAATCTTCATCGACCAGTGTGAACCACACGTATTTTTCGTCGATAACGGGATTGAAAGCCGCCGGTATGGACTCTAAACAAGCAGTGTAGGCCCTGGTGAACTCCTCTGTAACCGTGGCGGTCTCCCCCGCCCGCGCCGCGGCAAGTGAGAGCTGCAAAAGACAAGGTGCAGCAGCCCCCTTCCCTGGGATAATCAGATCAAAGAGCATTGCTTCACTTACACTATCCTGACGATATCTTAGGCGGTAGGGTTCGTCGCCAGACGGTCTTGAAATGATACGCGCTCTCTCGTGGCTTTTATAAACATCAGCGGCATTGACTAGAAAGATATGTTCCCGCGCATTGTAGTGTAGAGCCTGGCGAAGATTATAGAAGAGGCTCAGCTTTTTGCGCGGCTCAGACCTTGAAATCCCTGTCAGGGACAACTCCCAAGGTGTCGGTGGTGGAACTGCGCTCATAGACAAAAACAATGCAGCTTCCAGACCGCAGCAGCCCACAAGCTTGAACGTCTTGGATGCTTCAGCCTCGGAAGCAAACACAAGATAAATGTCTGATGTTTGAGATCCTGGAATACAAGAGCATTCACTCCATCGAGCACAGTCGCGGTATCCGGGATGAGAAAGTCGATCGCCGAACGCCAGAAACACGTGGTAGGGCTGATCTGGCATCTGGGGCAACTCCTCGGCGCAGAGCCAAGCCTCGGCGGACGGTCCCTCTATGACGAAAGTGGTACAGTCGACGTCTTCTTCCTCAGTCATGACTCGGATATTTTGAGGTTTGTCAAACAGGCGCACGAGCGGCAATGTAAGTGCACCGCTCCGTGAATCTATCGAGGCACCCTGAAACCAGGGTGTCTCGGAGGCGAGTTCTAGTATTTCGGTGTTTTTCAGAACTCTACTGCAGAAATCCAGCTGTGGTGAAGGATAGAGGTGCTGTATGATTGCGACTGTCGGCCATTTCCAATCAAATTTAGGTGACAGGCTGTCTCCTGAGTACATTTCTCGGAGTGGAAACAGTCTCTCGCCCCGTCCCTTCCGCCCCTGGCCATACTTATCTTCATCTGCCACGACTGCGAGCTTATCCAGGTTTGGCACCCATGAAGGATACTTCGACGGCCTCTCGGACGTTGATATGTGTAACAAGGGCCAGATTTCTTTTGAAATGGTCAACGTGAGCCCCATTGCACCAATGACGCAGTCCCGCATCGATATGGAGTAATCGGGCACGATACTGGAGTATGTGGGATTTCCCCCAAGTATTCCAAGAATTCCAAAAATGCTGTCCCGTGGATTGGTAGCCCGACTGCCAGAGGTCATTCGTAAGCCCTCAAGAAGCGTAGTGTGTCGCAGTTTGTGATCTTGTCCCATATACTCTAACCATTGTCTCTCATTATCCTTTTGGGACATGCGGTACAGTAAGTCATTGGTGATGTCGAGGTCGTGATGTCTGAGGGCTAGAATCGAATGTGGAGCGAGAATGAGCTCCTGGATGATCCACACGCGTGTTATATATCGGCCCTGCAAGACTGAGGCCCATATATCGAAGCGGCGGTCGTTCACAGGACCCTCGCTGGTATCGCCGTCCTTGGGAATTTCGTCATGTCTGACCCTTTCACGGAATCTGTGCTGTTCTCTGCGGACGAGATGATCGCCTGGGTATATGATCACACGCATGCAATTTTTGTAGATCTGAGGCATGATGGATACTTGCGTGCCTCGCTCCGGGATATCGTCCTGGTTGACACAAACGGCATCGACCCAGACAGCTCGAGTTCCCGCCGGAGGGCGTAGGTACTGCAGCAGAGACCAGCAATTCCGGGTGAGGAACAGCACATCCCAGAATTCGCCAAGATAAGCCGGCTTGCACGGCGTGGCATCGTCGTCTTCGCCGCCCCACGTATATGAAACCGTCTCATACTCGGGGCAGTTCTCCCGTGGATACTCCACAAGGTCACCATGGATAGGGCTATTAATAAGCCGTGACCCGGATAAGTAGAACAGTCGAAAATGGTCCTTCCCAAGACTTGAGGTATATATCTCAGACACAGATGAGCCCGAGGTCTTCATCGCGGGGGTGGCAGTATCCACTGAAGACATCTCTGGCTTAGCCCTAGGTACGCCATCAATTGTATATGGCACGCAAGGCGGCCACCAAAGGTTCATCTGACCGATGGGCGCTTCCGGAGGGAGGTTGATCCCGCTGTAGCTCGGAGCGGGCTCTTCAGCGGCCCTCCGCAGCAGTCCGGAGGCATTGCTGCCGCAGGTTCGGCACTCGGGGACGTTGCCGTCGACCACGACCTGGGGTGATTTGCAGGATGGCTCGTGCCATCGGGGTGAGATGGTCATGTTTGTACGATTCCGCCTTGGTTGAGACAGATTGTCATGCAGAATCAGATGAGGGGAACTTGGTTTACAAACCGTCAGCAAAGAAAGCTTTGCCGAAACCTGGGCAGCGGTTGATGCTGCGCCTCCAGGCTGCATTTGGGCACCACTGCATTTGCGCCACGATGCTGTGGCGCAGCCTCCAATGCCAGGCAGGCTTCAGTGCAATGCTCTATCAACCACACTGTATAATAAAGTGAGACTAATTGGGGTTATGTCTTTAGTATTGAGCATGCATCACATCGATTCGGCCATCAGCCTGAACTGCTCACACCCACCCTGCGAAATAGAAGGACGTGCTATGTGGACTGCCGTTCCAAAGCTTGGTTGGCCAAGCATTGTAGTCGCAACCTGAGATTCTACCCCCACTGTACATATGCGAGCGGCTCAGATCGTTCTCTGCAACAATTTAGAGAATAGGTGGAGGGTATGTATGAGTATCGACAAAGTGGAGTTTTCATTCCTATGCCCTTCGACGCAAACGGTTAGAAGGAGACCTGGCCTCAAAATTGTATAGATCTAAGAAATCATGCAACAGCAGCCAGGTGTAAGAGGCTTGATCTTCTGAGTCGGCTGTGGTGACGTTTGTGGATGCTCTTAGTGTGCAAATACCTTTCCCGGGAGTTGGTAAGTGTGTAGGATTCGTAGTTGAATACTTACTTAATTCAGCCAAGTTGTGACAGGCTGATCTTTTGTTAACGTTTCATGACTTACGAATATTATGAAGCTCGTTCTGATTGACCATATCATTGTGCTCGTGATGTTATGTCCACGATTTTGAATGTTGATATCAATATTATTAATCTATCTATATATATATCCATCTAAATCCCATGAACGAATCATTTGATGGCCTTGTGGCGTTGTGTCTGATCTTAATCTGCAACTCAAGAGAAATGCGCCCTCGATCAGGAGGGACACATTTTACCTGTAGCATAGTCCCAGGGACCACTGGCATGTCTGCAAATGGAGCCAGTAGGCATTCGCCACTATTTCAGCTGCTCAAGCCCTTTGAACTTCAGGCCCACCACAGCATACAAAACTCACACTAGCATCAACAATCTTCTTGCAGATCTCCAGCTCGGCGTCATCCCTCGGCACATAAAGCATGACATGCGTGATCGGCCAGAACCCTCTGACCCCACTGAGCGGATGCCTCTCACCCCAGCCCTTCCTGACAACCTCCTCGGCATCGGGCAAGCTCAATGTGACATGCATCGTAGCTTCAGGGTGCACATGTGCGAACTCGCCCTTGGTCTTCTTGAGGTATGGCGGGAACACCCGATCGCGGCTCACGGCGTACCACAGCGCGGCGTGGTCGGACGGAGATCCTTCGCCCTCCAGTCGAGACACGTCGACAAACACCAGCGAAGGGTTGGCCCGAGCGATGTCCTCCTGATATGCCACAAGTCGTTCCCTCATTTCGGCGTTCCGGGGCCCGCGATCGCTCATCTGCCGCTGCGGCGCTACGAAGCCTGGCACGACCGGACGGTCTCCTTTGCGCGCCGGAAGGCTGCGTCCCGACAAAAAGCTCTTTGTACCGTGCTCTCCCAGAGATGATCGGAATTTCGGGTCGGAGAAGGATTCATGATCGCGTGTGTCGTGTCGCGCGACGATTTGTGTTATGCCTTGGAGCATCCACCCGAAAATATTGTAGGGCATTCCTCCCGGTCCGACGTCCAAATATTCCTGGTAGGATTCCATGGCCCAGGCGATGGCAGGGCATAATGCGAGGCCGATCATTACTGCGGTGATGCCGATCACGCGCCAGTTGTCTATGACCGTCTCTGGCACGTATCTCTGGATGAGAAGCATCGCGTGCTCGAGCTGCGGATTTTGGATTTGAGATGCCATTTTCCAGTCTTGGGATGCTGCTGCTGATCAATGTCGAAATTTTAGAAGTTTCACAGTAGAAGCGCAGAACGAGTTACCCTTTGAAGTGGATTGAAGAGGTTTTATGACACCGCCGTTGACATACCTTTAGTCGATCCTCCTCGGGTGGGTCCGGCTCCGTTATGGTCTGACATGAAGCCACAGGTCAGCACACCCGGGCCGCTCGCCTGTTCAGTCCTCAGGATCGAACAAGGCTTTGCGTGACCTAAAATTGCACTCCTATTCCCATTACCTTGGGTGCATCCCGGATGCCATGAATGCTAATAACTCAAGCCAATCGATATCCCCAGACTAGTTTGAATGTTCTTTCTTGTTGCTGAATTGTATGCACTTGACTTTGACGAATCTGACATGACAGCAAGTTGACAATGAGTCAGAGCAACAAATGAGTGGTGCGTTCAGTTGCAGCACTATTATCGCTAAGGTGCTGTTATCAGCAGTGTTCTCGTCACTAAAGGGTGGTCATGCAAGTGAGGGTTTAACTACAGTCAGCGTCTCGCCCGGATCATAAGACTTAACTACGTCTGTTCACTTCCCCTCCTTTCCCTATTTCCATCCGTGATATAAAAGCAGAGTAAGAGAGATAAACGCTTCCAAATTCAGCCACGCGATCCCCACACATTCATTGTTAGACGAAGTAGAGAACATGGCCGACAATCAAAACGCAGAAATACCAGGCGCTACTGCCGCGGCACCGGAAACGCCACAAACATTAGCATGCCAATGCAGACGAACGTACCACCGGCGACAGCGCGGAGGTGGCTGTCCCAATCCAGCTAGATGGTGTCAGTGGTGTAAAGACGGCGGATGCGTGCTGGCGAGGCACAGAGACGAGCGGCGGGAGCGCCGCGAAGAGAGACACAATAACAACCGCAGACACGAGGATACGAGCAGGAGAGGAAGTAGGAGGCATGGACAGAGTTCGATGTCCGGTTTTCCATCGCCTCAGACGGTACCGTTCCCGATGCTACCTCCGCTCCTACCTATGCCTATGCCAGGGTCACCTTTACCCGGCATTCCCTTCCCAACGCCCTGGTCTGGAGCAAGCGTTGGCAGCAGCTCGAGTTCACCGAGCAGCGAAAGCTCCGGTAGTGATAGTTCCTGGGAGGATACTAGGCGCGACCCACGGAGGTGGCCAGGTGTAGACGGGTGGTTTCGTTTCTAATCAATGGTTGATGTACTATTATAGGTTGAAGTCGATGTGAGATCACATTACACCTAATAAGTAAACGGTTGAATTTATTTTCAATGCAATTGTGCCTTGTCTTGAAGCGACTAGAAGAAACCTTGGAACAGTTTGTGTAATACTTACTACCTAGGTACTCAATTCGCCAGCATTCGAAGTATTTCCTTTTATACCTCAGTTCAAGCTGCCGGTGAAATTCAAGTTGCCTGCCTATGTACAGCCGGAATCAATACTTACTCGGACCAAAGAAATGCCGTGCCGCCCCTTTGGTGACACCCCAAAACCTCGCCACGAAATTGCCAACCCCAATTTGCCAACCCCGCCGCCATAGACGCTGATTACGCCGAAGGATTTGCCTGGAGCCTGTTATCAATATCACATCTTGTACCATCTTGCGAAAATACTCTCAGCATTAGGGTTCTGTTAACGTCGATGCTGATACTCACGCCCACCGACACAACCCACAGCCCGGACATGCGCGAGATTCTCTATGTAGTTCAGAATTTGGCAAGCCATGTCACATGCCATTGCCATGAAATGGAATATGTCCCTCGCAGCGCAGACTTGATGCGACTGCCTAAACCACTCCTACCTAATGCCGCGCGGAGACTTGACGAGCTACTTCACGACAGCGTCATCATGGTTCGTATTAGTAACTACACCTGGGCATATAGCCAGATAATTCTCTAGCATGTCAAATAAGGCTTACTAGGATTACAAAGGAATCAATCACGTCTATGTGGGCCAATGACAGAAGATTGAAGGTCAACCCTGATAGATTCTCGGGGCCACAAATAATCTGGCTTCAGGGTGGCGGCGTGTCCACCAAGAAGGACCGACTGGCACTGTTCGTATTTGTACGGCGGCCGATCAGACAAGGCGAAGCCGAAACGGCGAACCAAGCCTTGCACGAACTGCCAGCTTCCGAAGGTATAATTGAGAGGCCGATCGCTGAGAACCAGTTCGTTAAGTCGAGTTTCAAGTGTCAAGTTGGAGACATTCTTGTGCTTGAGGGAGGGGAAAGACTTCACACTCGCGGGGAAGGCGACATCGAAGATCGCGATATTTGTATGATTGCAACTTTGCACAGCACAACTATTGATGAGAATGGAATGGGCCAGGTTTGAAACCATGTATATTAACCGGTCATTCGTTCCAGAACATGGTCCATGTCAGTGTACTGACTTGGTCCATGGGAGTTCGACGCCGCTGCGACCTCCCAACTTCCCTGACTGATGATTGTTCGGGCGGGATCTGCTTGAATTTCAGTTTGATCATGTTAAATTTCTCTAAAAGAAAGTCTCAAGGACTTACTGAAGTCTGCGACGTTCTGCGACGATGCCCCCGGGCCATCTTGTGGCCTGAAAGGCGTGTCGGGGATTGGCTCGCCTTCAGGCAAGTGGATCTCGACACTAGCCGTTGGATTTTATGGTATAAACAACCGCTCAATTACTGTCTAGGAAAAATGAAGTTATACCCCCCCCTAGTTAAATACCCCCTATTTCTCAGTTAAACTAAAACTTTATTAATAAGGTAGAAACTTTAATATTCTTATTAAAATACTTTTATTAACTTTATTAATATTAATAATAAATTATCTTTATTATTTAATTAAATAAAAGTAATATTATATTAATTTTATATAATTAATTTAAGTTTAATTTATAAAAATATATATAACTTACTTATTCTAATATAAAGTAATATTAACTTAACTAACTTTATAAATAATATTATTAAATTAATTTATTAAATTTAAATTATTTAATATTTATTATATAAAATTTATTTAAAAGTTAAATTATATAATTTATTAATAAAATATTATATTATTTAAATAATTATATATTTAAAAGCTAACTATTAAGGTAATTAAAACTTAATAAATTACTTAAAAGTATTTATAAATACCTTTAAAAACTATTTAAAATAAAACTATTATAATAAATTAAGTAGTTTAAAGGGTATAAAAGAATATTATTTAAGTTAATAATAAAAAATATATTTATTAATAAAAAAGAGGAAGTAAAAGTATTAATAATAAAAACCTCTTTACTAAAGTAAAGTTCTTAATAAATAATATTAATAATAATATTAAATATTTTAAAAGTTATCTAATTAACTTTTAATATAAGTATATTTAAATAAATTAATTTTAACTTTATTTATTAAAATTTATAACTTAAAAATTATTAATATTCTTATTATATAATTTAAAAATAAAGTATTATATTATAAAAAAATTAAAGTTAAAGGATTTAAAATTTTCTATTAGAGTATATTAAATTAATTAAAGATTTAATTATAAAGGAATATAAAAACTATTTAAATATAATTATTAAGTTAAAAATGTTTTTATTAAAGTTAGTTAATTTATAAGTTAAAAGTTTATACTTTTATAATTAAAATCTATAAGAAAAATATTAATAAAAGGATTAAAGTATTTAATTATAATAATATTATAAATATACTTTAAAGTTTAAAAATTATATTTTCTTTAATTTTTATATAATTATAGAGTTATATTATTAATAAAGGAGTTATAAATATTTATATTATAAAATAATTACTTAATTAAATAATTATTAATTAAGGTTTTTATTTATTATTAATTATTTAATAAATAGTTACTTTAAGGGATAGTTTTTAATAATTAAATAAATAATAAATATTAATATATTTAATAGAAACTTAATCTTAATAACTTTTAATTTAAATTAATAACTATTAGTTAAAGAGTTAAAATAAAAGTAAAAGTAAACTTTATATAAAAAGTATAAATAATTAATAAAAATATAATTATAGTTTTAAATAATTATTATAAAACTAATTATTATTATTAAAGTAAAGGGAATTCTTTATAATAATAGTATTTTATTAAGTAAAATAATATATATATTAATTTATTTAATAGAAATTTAAAGGATTAATTTAATATAATTATAATAAATAATATTATAATTAAATATTTATTAAAAGTTTTTTAATTATTAAATAACTTAAATAAAGCTTAATAAAAAAGTTTAATAATAATAAAGTTAGCTTTATTCTTTTAAAAAAGTAATAAAATAAAAGTAAAAAAGTAATATTAATATAATTATTAATTTATTATTTAATATTAATTTATTTAAAGTTAGATATAATTAAATAATTTTAATAAGGTTATTATTATTATTATTATTATTATTAACTTTTTTATAAATTTAATAGACTTTTAGTTTTACTATTATTAATAGTAATAATAATAATACTTAAAAGTCTATTATAAAGATAAAGGCTATTAGTTATCCTTTTATTATTATTATTATAAATAAAAGAAGATAAAATAATTTTATATTAAAATTTATTATAAAAATCTTTTAAAAGTATTTTAAAGATTTATTAAAAACTTAATTTAAGTAATTTATAAAAGTTATAAAGTATAAAGAGTTTAATTTTATAAACTTTATAAAAAAGGATATTTAGTTTAATAAATATAATTTAAAAGCTATTTTATTAATTAAAATATTAGTTAAGCTATATTTAAAGGAAAAAAAGACTTTATTAATTTTTTAATAATAATAATAATAAAAGAATTTATTATTATAATAAAGACTATTAAATAATTATTTAATAAATTATTAAATAAATATTAAAAGTATATATTTTATAAAGTTTATAAAAGTTATTTAATTAATTAATTAGCTTTATTTAATATTAAACTTTATAATTAAATTAACTATTTAATAAAAGGTTAAAAGTTTATTAAAATATTTTTTTATTTAATAGAGTAAAGGAGTTATATAATAAGTTTTAAAGGACTTTTAAATAAAAAAGTAGTAATTAGGTATATAGAAAAATATAAT